GGTGAATTTCTTCGGCCTTGTGTTGTCAGCCCTAAGGGGTTACTGTCCTTTATTTCCCTACACAACGTACGTGCAATCGGTTGGTTGCATTGGGCTACACAGCAGCAGGTAGAATACCACCAGCCGTACACATTTCTTTAGGCATCTCCTCTGCACATCTGCAGATGTTGATTAAAAATCAAAGCGCGAGAACGTTGTACTAATCGGAAGATGAGTTTACTAAACAATAACGGGTTGTGGGAGCATAGAATATTTCAATCAACCCCCCAAAGCGCTATTTTCGAACAAGTATACTGTGGTTTTCTCTCTAGTTGTTTAGGTTCGAGATGCTGTCCTCTAGTGTCAATTTTATCGAACATTTGAATTGAAAAAACGGATAAGGCACACACGGATTTCATGGGTTAATTTCGATTCCATTCCATAATTTAGGCGTCCCGTGATCTAGTTCGACTTCTTACGTTTTAGTTATGCAAATGAATCTAGACGACTGGTTTGACGGACGCAAGCATGACCAGCTTAGTTTCAGAGGTAAATCTTATCGATTTTTCATCTGACACATCCACGGATTTTGCTACAAAATAAAAAAACACGAATTCGACTATGCAGTACAAATTGTAAATTGACTTGGTATCGGAAACTCAAGTGATTATCCGTTGAATGTTATGAATATGTTGTATAAATACCGTTTTATGTTGGATTTCGAAGTGTTGAAGATATCAAGCTATTTTCTTTTACACAGCATTACTTAAGAGGCTCATGAAAACTCTTAACAGCTCACTATCACCAAAGTTGTCATAATCTCAGCTTGGCATTGTGCCACGCTTTCTCGTAATATGATACGATCTAGACTTGCCACATTGCAACAGAGCTTATTGAACTCCTCACAGTGTCAGCCAGACACAGGAAAGGCAATCAAATGCATCTACTCTGAATAAACACCAGGATGATATCATTTGTTGACTTTTGGCAAATGCGTCCTGTTGCTAGATCTGATTTTCATACAATGGGCTGTGGATTAGACTGGGAGCAGACGCCCTAAGGCTGCCTGAAATCTCTGATGTTGTGGAAGGAGGACAGGCATTGCTGTGCTAAGGAGGATATAACTTGAGGGACATGTGTGATGATACTACTGACTATATCCTGAAGAGAAGACCTTATTGATACACTGCGGCAGGAAATGTAAAAGACCAAGTGCAACGAGCCTAGTGCTCAGTTGCCTGACTGCAGCGAAACATTGTGAAGCTATGGACACTTGAACAGTTGACGCACTGAACCATCAACCTGAACTTTAGGGACGACAAACCACGCGACTACTGGCTGGAACTTTGCATATCTAAAAGGGCCGTATTTGGACCACATAAGAGTCGGGTCGTCGGTTCCTTACTTCTTTGAAGGAACTCTGAATTTACTCAAATGTGTTCATAAATCATCTCCTTGCCCCGTTGAGAAGTGAAAAAAGTCCGTGTGTTTGTCTTTCCAGCAGTGTTAATCAGGCTTATTGTCAGATGCAGAATCTTTGTGGGTTTATTCAGTGCCCAGTGGTTAATCTTACCACAGAGCATGTACTATCTCACAGGCGGATGGTGGTGAATTGCGCCGGAGACGTGTGATGGAAACTTTGCAATCCATTTAAAATAAAATCTAAGAAGCATAAGCATGATTAAGTCGAAGAAGGTTTTCCATGAAGAGGTCTAATCAAGTCTCGTGGGAATGTATGCGCCACTCCCATGTGCATTCCAGTTGTAGACAGATTTATACCAGTAACGTAGTTGGAACCCATCCAAGAAAATAAACAACTGCACCTGGAGTCATACTGAGATTTGTGTTGCTTTTTCGAACAAAATTTCTTGTTCCACTCATCCATTAGTCAGATCAGTTATCAATGTTGTCAGTGATTGATGACGGAAATGCGACCCGGCGTTGGATGCACTTTCATAGCCCCAGCTATCATGGGGAGGGAAGTGAACGTGTTGATGGGCAACACAGCCTCTAATAAAAATCACCTGTCATTTTGATCACGTGTTAGTGTCAGTACAATTCAGTGGGACAGCTGGTTATCTCTGACGGGAAAGACTAATTTTTGGAAGCCAATGAATATAACATTTCTAGTTCCAAGCGAATGAACTGAAACGATACAAGAACAATACCGGATAAATCAGGTTTTTGCAGAATAGCTTTACTTCAGTTTTTTTTTCGGAAAGTTCAGCCACACACATCGATATGTAACATTTGGTCGTGAATACGATCAGCGACTACATCGATTGCACGAGATGCGAGTTTTGCCCAACCTAACAGAAAAACAATCTGTGAATGGACTGGCGAAATTCACATTCACATGCCAGCAAGGTCATACATTTTAGGACAGACAGATCTGTTTACAAATGTCGTGAAAATTACGTGGAACGGCTGTGTTCATCTCCAGCGGTTCAGTTTCACTTGACTCTCGGCCTACCAATGGGTGATCAGTTTCACGCGTCTCCATTTAGGTGCTCGAGCATCAAATCTCATTGGTTGAAATTCAGAGTGCTGACGTAAAGGTGTTGCTAGTGTCAGGCTGTCTGCAAAATTCATTCCATCTTGTAAGCTTTACTAATTGTGTTAGGAAGCTTCTTCAGCGTCCTTTCAATCCGAGGCAGCCTTGGCCTCACGCATTTGGTTGAAGAACACCGTAAATGAGCAGTCTTTTCGAGTCTCACATTACCACTAGCTTAGTTTGGAGGTGGTTGACTGATTTACATAAGTTACGCAGTTCAACAGGAAATAATCTCGCAGCTAGACCAGTGATGTATATTTAGACATCATCTGGGTGGTTAAGATACACTGGTGAGGTGAGTAACACCTACAGTAACCGCTTGGTTGTATGACATTTACAGCACAAGCTAAGTCAAACTTCTGATGTTGTAAACATTCTGGCACCGAGGAAAAAAACAGCTGCACTCCTGCGGTTCATCCTACAACAGAATCGGTTGTCGGGACAGGTTTTCCTACATCCCGATATAAAAATGACGTCTGTACAGGGGACTGTCGTAAAAATAGCATCTTCAAAAGAGTTGGGCTGACTTTCGTCCCAACCAGCTTTTACCTACTATTCCTGTCGTGCGCTTGTTGATTCAGCTGAGGCCATCCATTAATGCACCGAGCCATAATTCTTTTTACTGTCAAGTATTTACCCTCGCCCGTCGCAACGGACAAACGACTGGCCAATCACTAACAGATGAGCTCACAGTGAGTAACAAGTTTCTGACAGCTACGGAATGGTTTGTTGACCACGATTTTTATCAATAGTTTCGTACTCTTCATGCCACCTGAAGCTTATGTTTTGCTATAGTCAGACAGCGTTCGCACTCTGTTTCTGTTATTGTGTGTTCACACTGGTTTCAGTCAAGGCCAGTGCATTGATCCACAGGACAAAACGCTTGCCTCTTGGACGCAGTTTCCGAGGCTAATGAACTTTTGAAAAACTTGCTGTGGTCCAACAATTATTTTGGCTGTTTCACTGGTTGGTCATAAACGAAGAGCGCAACTCACAGTACAACAGAAATGCATTTATTTCGACTTTTTTCACGCTTTAAACATGCTTAGGTCGACTTCACATGTTCCCCTCGCTGAAGCTATGGTACAGCACAACCACATGAAATGGCATACAGGCCATGCTGTTGTGGCCAGCGCTAGTTTCACCACCATTTTCACCCA